GGAAATGGAAAAAAGTATAAAGCAAACTCAATTTCTTTATTGTGGTGGGGACTTTGAATGTTCCCTGTTTGAGAAAGAAGGACTGAAAGGGAAACCATATCTTAAGACTGATATTCCATCCAGTAAAAATTCTCCAGAAGTAAGATTAGTGATGGATGGCGTCCAAACTGATTTGTATTGGATAGTTGTTCATCTGAAGGCTTCCCCCCCTCCTTTTTTCCCCCTCTTGCCAAATGGAAGCAGGGGTGGAGCTGAGTTCAAGCAGTTTGTTTCAAGAGACAGGGTGTGGTCTGGGTAAAGGCAAGAGAGCAGGTGATGATGACGTGTTCCTGGGAAGGTGGGGAGGTGGAAAAAGATGATTTGGTTTCCTAGCAAGTTTTCTGACTCTGTACGGCATATGCCTCATTGACCTTGTTCTTTTATTCTTAAAGAGTTGGAAACACTTAAGAAATTACCAAAGAAACAGTCTGTATTTTTAGGGCTTTATGCCGTCAACTCTCATTTCTTCATCTCCCTTAACTCCTAACAGTTATGCAGTTTCCTTTGTCTTTTCACTAAGAAAACCATGTTGGTATTTAGGTTTCCATTTTTGTGCAGGGAAGTAAATAATTATAGAGGAAGAAGCCTTCAAATCAACAACAGAACTGGTAAAAAGGAGTAGGTGACATGAGGATCAGGTCCGTTGAGTGGAATTATCCCCATTTAGTTGGCTTCCATTATGGTATGTTTCTATTGCTTAAAGCATATCTATTCATTACCCTCCCTCATGGATCCTCTAATCTTGATTTAATTACCATGTACATTAAGGTCCAACCAGTAGATGTTTGAATGCGTATGAGCCATGTAAAATTCTTCACAGCTGATCATGTAGGTGTATCTTCCTTTGGTGTTCAGATAAAGTTTGATAATTGCTTCCTGGGCACACAGCCATTACATAGTGGAAAAGGCATACTAAACTGGATGAGTAGGTGTTTGCCTACCAACTCTTATTTCAGGAATTTCCCAAAATATTTCTCTACATCTGCTCACTGATATTTCAGATTCCATTAATAGGGACAAAGCCTTTTAATCCCAATTAGGGAGAATTAAAATGTAAATGTAAGTGACAATACAAGTAGCAAGAATAACCAACAAGTATGGCATTTACTATGAGTAGGTGCTGTTCTAAACACTTTAAATGTAGTATATATGACTGTTACTTGGTTTTTCTAGATAACAGGATTTAATTAGGGCAAGGGAGAGGAGATGCTAGATTTTTTAAGGTATTAGGTATCTTAATACCTAAAAGGTTAAGATGTATCCAACAGCCAAGTAGATAACATGCCCAGGACAAACTATAGAGTCCCTAATATTGCCTAAGGCAGATTCTGAAACATATCGAATAGGAAGAATTTTAGTCCCATTTGCTTTTTTATCCTTTAAACTTTATCTCTTTTGTTCCTCCTAGGCCTTTGTAAGATGTTATTTCGTTATAGTGTAATAGCACCATGGTATATCTGGGCTAAGATTTTCCCTACAGTCAGGGGCTCACAGGCTGATGTATAGAAGTTAAAGGTCTAGGGGCGCCTGGGTGGCGCAGTCGGTTAAGCGACCGACTTCAGCCAGGTCACGATCTCGCGGTCCGTGAGTTCGAGCCCCGCGTCGGGCTCTGGGCTGATGGCTCAGAGCCTGGAGCCTGTTTCCGATTCTGTGTCTCCCTCTCTCTGTGCCCCTCCCCCGTTCATGCTCTGTCTCTCTCTGTCCCAAAAATAAATAAACGTTGAAAAATAAATTTAAAAAAAAAAAAAAAAAGAAGTTAAAGGTCTATATTTAATAATCTGTTAAGAATCTGTTTTTCTATTTTTTAATGTTCGGTTTGCTTTTTTGGAAGGGTGTTTTACTTTTCCTCACAAATAAATTATTTGAATGGTTTAGTTGCTTATTTGAGAAAAATTGTCCTAAAACTGGAAGAATCAGTAAGATGTCAGGTGGGTGAACTATATTCCAACCAATCCCCAAAGACAACTTTTTCCATTTCTTTCTCTAAATTATCAGCAACGACTTTGATGGATCATTCCAGTGCCTCACAATATGTAGGCAACTTTCCACTGTCTCACCGAACCATTAAGGGAATTCTTTCTTTCCCATCATCAGTGGAAGGGTCGCTTGGCTGTTTAGCTGTCACTCATTCATCCCTTCTTCGTGTACAGCCCTTGTTTTTTTTTTTTGTTTTTTTTTTAAATGTAAAATATACTATTGTACAATGGTGCTGTGAGCTTTGTCTAAATTCAGAGGTCAGATGTATGTGATGAAGCTAATTTATGCTATATCAACTAAGAAGGCAAATACCACATTGAGTATGAAAGGAGTGAAGAGTGAAGAACGCTTCCTTTATTTTCAGGTTATGTATAGTTCACTATGATTACTGAAGCTCCATCCCACTGTAGCACTTAAAATTTGAAATCTCTCCTTTTGAGTACTTGATTCTGTCTTGTATTCTTTTCAAGTGAGAAATAATAATAGACATTCCACTAGGTTTGGTGTCAAGCAGTAAAAATTATGACAATTATTTGGTTAATGTTCTACAACTTTGTAGACACATTAACCTTCTTATTATCTATTTTGAAGACCTGAGTGTGAGTGCCCACTCTACCAAATACTTGCTGTGTAACCTTAGACAAGTGGCTTAAACTCTCTGAGCTTTAATAATTAACTGAAAAGCAAGATAGTATCTGTTTTACTAACCTAATCAGAGGGTTGCTGAGAGACTCAGATGAAACAGGAAATCATAATGGACTATTACATGGTATAATAGATCTCCTCAACCAAGTTAAATGTTTACTGAGGGAGGGACTGTTGATAACATTTTTATCTTGCCTGGGACAATGTAGCTCATAGTTGACTTTTAGTAAAAACTTGTTAACTTTTATGGAAGTTTTGTCGAATAACTTTTCCCACAGATGGTTCTATTAATGAAAAAGGTGGAAATAGAAAAGTACTTTGTTATAAGCTCAATGTCTTTTTAAGTCGTAAAAAGACTGCTAAACACATGAACTCCTGGAGAAAAGTTTTAGATAACTGTATTGGCTGTCTTCTGAGGGAAGTCTCACATAGAAACAAACACATAGGATGTGCTTAATAAATGTTTGTTGAATAAATTGCAGTGTTTAGTCCCACACACCCATTCTTCTTTGACCTCATGAGAAATCTTTATTTGTAAGGGTAGCTACTCTCCAGGCAACTAGAAACTCCAGAAGCTAAAGGGGTTCCAGGAGACCAACTGAAAAATCACAGTGATAGGCAATTATTGCAGATACATTGATCCTAAGAAAAAACTATGCAGTGAAGTAATAGCTACTATTTAATGAATTCTACTATGTGCCTCACGTACATTGTTGCAGGTCTGTTAATCTCCAAGTTCAGATTCTTTCCTTCCCTGGCTTCATTTTAAGAACTACTTGGGGAGTACCTATTCCAGGGTCATAAAAGCATGAGGAAGCAGCCCTCAGCAAAATCAGCCAGTCATCTACAATTGTAGTCCTTTGTAGAATGGGGTGCTTCATGTATTTGACCTCTGATTCCTTTCATCTCTGACATGATAAATTTTTCCACCTAAAAACCCAAATACTACTCAAGAAATATCTTAAATACTCAAGAATATCTTAAAAGATATTCCAGTATCTTTTATTTTGTAATTAATAGATGCTATGTTTAATTATACTGGAAAATAGTCAAGAGTGTTCATTTTTTAAGTTTTTATTTAAGGTGTTTAGCCTAAATTTAATCTAAAGGTAACTTTAGGTTGGTAAAATATTTAGTGGACTGTATTAGATATTGGTAAAACAGAAAATTTTAAATGACTTTTAAGTATCAATTTTTAGGTTTGTTTGTTTTTTTTTTTTTTTTGGTCACTGTTTTGGTTTGAGGTTTGGGTATTGGAGATGGTAGTGGATTGTGTTTTAAACATAGCCTGGTTGGCAAATTCACCTACTGAGTTAGCGTCCCATTTATACAGTTGCCTTTTATTATTTATTTATTTATTTTTTGAAATTGTGTCCTAAGTTTTTTTATTATTATTATTTTTTAATATATGAAATTTATTGTCAAATTGGTTTCCATACAACACCAGGTGCTCATTCCAAAAGATGCCCTCTTCAATGCCCATCACCTACCCTCCCCTCCCTCCCACCCCCCATCAACCCTCAGTTTGTTCTCAGTTTTTGAGTCTCTTATGCTTTGGCTCTCTCCCACTCTAACCTCTTTTTTTTTTTTTTTCCTTCCCCTCCCCCATGGGTTTTACAGTTGCCTTTTAAATGCAGGGACAATTTTGTCTGTATTCTAAGACAACAGGAAGAAACTTATATCACAGAGTGTTTTATGTATTTATATTGAGATAGGACCCTGAATTCTTTTGGAGAAAAGATTGTACTTTTTCAAAATCTTGTGGCATTTCAACATTATTATTTTTTTTTAAAGAAGTCTCTGTAATAAAACCTTAAATGTAGATCTAAGCACATGATTTGCTGTTTCAGCCCTTGTGAAGTATACGATGAAGGGCAAGGAAATGACAGTTACATGATTCACTGCAAATGAACGCTCCCTCAGGGCAGGAACTTTGCCATGTTCAATGTTATACTGTAAGACCAAGAACATTTGTTGAGTGAGTGAGTGTTAGGTCTGTCTGCCCTTACCATTGTGGTTGTAGCTCAGTAGAATTTTCATTGCAGAAATCCTCCTTTGGAACCTGGATCTCATGTTCATTGTGACTGGCTGGTTGAGGAATAGTTGAAATAGTGTTCATTGGGGTATCATCTACATTTTTGTCCTTTGTGTAGCTATCACTGTTCCAAGGAAAGGAGGCTAGTTCTGAAGAAAGTTTCCTCATGGGTAACTTTGGAGAACTCTCTGGTTTCTCCACTTTTCTTTCTGAAAAATATAATTATTCACCAACTCAGATAGAAACAGAATCTTTGTCCTGGCTCATGGCTGAATTGGAGCAGGCGATCCTGAAGAACAATTACCTGGGGAAACAAAGAGTCTTGCTTTAGAGACTGCAGTCCCAGCCTCATTTTGTGCAATGCACTTGAATTCTCCAGAGTCTTCAGGAAATGCTTCTGTGATAATCAAGGTGCAGACTTCCTCTGGAAAGGCAAGAGATTCAATTTGACCAGAGTTTTTGGAGACCCCAAATTAATAAACAAATAGGGAGGATGTCAGGGAGAGTAGATATTAGGAATAAATAGAGTATTTCTGGGTTTTTAAAAAATCCATCTGATTAGACTTTTTGTCTTTGATTGGGCTCCTGATGATAAATCTTAAAAACACAACCTAGAATAATCCCAGCACAGTCTCCATCACCTGTCCTGTTTTTCTGACACATCTTTTTACTATACTGTGAGTTCCTTGAAAGCAAGCATCACACTTTATTCCCTGACATACAGATTTCTGTAGCTTTAGTGTTTAGCATGAAGGTCCTGTAGAAAGATTTTCTGAACTGACCTAAAAATTATTGCCAGAATTGTTCAACCTACTGTTAGTACAGTGAAGACCATTGTGTGATGGGCCCTACCCTACTTCTTGGACAGTCAACAGCTTGGGTGTTTGATGGCAGGACACCTCCTCAGTGCCCAGAATGGAACCTGGCCATCATCTGTACTATATTAAGTGAATGAATAGATGAATAAATACACTGATAAATCCCAGTTATCTTGCTGCTTTTGTTGTGTCAACTCAAAAGGTGGTATAGGGTAGCCTCAAAACTGCTCATGTAGGCAAAATTGATCTAGGAGACAAAGTCTTCTGATGGAAATTTTGATTTAATCATTTATTATCAAGATGTTGAAAAATTGTGCTTACCAGGAATAGACGATAAACAAGCTTCTGAAAGATAAAACACGAGAGTAAAGAGAATTTACATGATGGTTAATTTAGTTGGGAGAAGGGGCCATGTTATATGAGAAATAACTTGAATAAAGCAAATGGAAGGTTGACTGTAATCTGGAGTCACAGGCTATAAATTCTGTGGAAACCCAGAAAAGGTACATATTGGAATGAATACTTGGCAGGGTAGTAGAAGAACTGTGTTTTTGTCCTGTTCTACCATTGAATTGCTTTGTGATTAGGTGAAAATTACTTCTCTGGGCCTTAATTCTTCGTTTCTATCCCATTCTCTGATTGGGAACCATTACTGAACCATTAATCCTCTGGTAGTCTCTTTTTCTCAAGAAAACTTCTTTCTTTTAATCTCGTTAATTACAATGCATATTCCATTATAAACATATTGTAGTAGTATTGTAGAAAAATAACAAAGATTAATAGTTTTCTCTGGGTGATGAGAATATGGGTAATTTAAAATTTTTTCTTTATGCTAGTATCAAATTGTATAATTTGAGATTGTATAATTTGAGATTTTCCTTCCTGAATGTGATGTACAAATGTTCAGTTCTGAATTAATATTTAAATGAGTATATTTTCTTCACTTGGTGCAAGAACTGTTTTGGGCTTGAACCCTGACTTGCAGCATTGATTAGCTTTGTAACCTTGGGCAAGGCTAGCAAAATGCTCAGCCTTAGCTGAGGTTTTGAGGCTCATTTAGTGTTTCTGAATTTCACTTTTCTTATAAAATGTAGGTAATGCATCCTTCAAAATCTTGATGTGAGGATTAAATGAAAGATTGCTTATAAAGTATAAACTCAGTGTTTAGCATGAAATAGATCATCATACTTGTTACTCTTCCCTAAATTAATTATTTGGTAAGAAACTTAAAAAAAACATGTTTAGGAAGCTATGCATCATTATTAATTTGTTTTACTCTTAAAAATATGTTTATTCTCATATTTTTTTGCTATTTGTATGTCAAGAACTAATAGTTAATTTGTGAAAATAAACCAATCTTTTCACAGCCATTAAAACTGTTGTGTCACACACACACATAAAACAAACAACAAAAAACCCTGCTGTCTTTTCTTTTTTGGTTGTTTTGTTGAAGAATCACTTGGATTTGAAATAATAATTGTTTAACAATAGAAATTTCTGAGCCTGTAACAGATCAGCTACTAAACTTTACAACATGAATTAGATTTCAAGGTTAATTGAAATAAAAAGCAAATCAAAAAGCTTGTGACAATACTTCTCCTCAGAATCTGGAAGTCCTCAGAGTCTGCTATCTCCTTTTTCTCTCTGTGCCAGTGAATTTGAACTGTGGTTATTGCCTGGACGTGGCATTCAAATGTGACAGACTGACCACTGGTTGTAGAGATGTCTTGAAGATGCTGAAGAAGAAACATAGAATTCACAGAATGGAAGAAACTCTTTCACCATATGCAATGATTTAGGATGCCTACTGTGTGGTAAGTATGCTTTTTGTCATAGTTATTGACATCTGACTGTCCTTTAAGCAAAACAAGGAGTTGCTGGGACGCTTTGTGCTTTATAGTGTGCTTGACAGTCACATAGAAGTTATTTTTACCTTAATATCATAGAGAAAGCTGTTTTTCACTTCCCCAAGATCTGTTTTTCAAAATAGATCTAAATTTTCAAAATAGGGAACCAATTAGTTGGAAACTCTTCCCTTTGTTGTATTATTTTGTTGAGTTCATATATAGTCATAGATTTAATCTTTATTACCGGTCACGTAGCGTGGGCAGTATTTGTAATTTGTTAAGGATTCTGAATCATGAGTTAGAGGACTTGGACCAAAATCTCAACTCTTCCACTAGCTGGTTGATGCTGATCATAGGAACTTGGAAACTTTTTTTTTTTTAAGATTTTATTTTTAAGTAATCTCTTTACTCAACGTGGGGTTCAAATTAATAACTGCGAGACCAAGAGTTGCATGCTCTAACAGAGCCAGCCAGGTACCCTTGAAAAACTTGGGAGCTATTTAAAACAAAAATTTTTTTTAATGTTTGTTTATTTTTAGAGAAAGAGAGAAAAACAGAGACCGGGTGGGGGAGGGGCAGAGAGAGAGGGAGACATTAATCCAAAGCAGGCTTCAGGCTCTGAGCTCTCAGGACAGAACCCAACGTCGGGATTGAACCCATGAATTGTGAGATCATGACTTGAGCCTAGGTTAGATGCTTAAACTGACTGAGCCACCCAGGAGCCCCAGAAGTTGGAAACTCTTAATCTCTGTGGAATTTAGCTTCTTTATCGGTGAAATAAGGCTAGCAAAATGCTCAGCCTTGGTTAAGGTTTTGAGGCTCATTTAAGATAAATAATCTGAAAACCTTCTTTAAAGAGTGAAGAGTTATACTGTTATATAAAAATATATATAAAAATAGGTGGTTTGATCTCACATTGCATGCATGAATGGGTGGCATTTGTGTAAATATCCACCTTAAATCTCGATTCCCTTCCTCTCCTGTTTTCAGCTCCAGAATCCTCTAGAATCTAGAATTACATTTCAGATTATAACTCTAGAGAGGGAGTATCTGAAGTCCTATCAGGTGAGACACACTGACCACGAGCACAGCCCTTGAGGCCTGATGACCAGGGCTGCATTATCACAGGGAAGGAATGTAGTAGGAAACTTGTAGAAATAATAAACACATATTGTGGACAGCCTCTGCTGCAAGCAAGCTTCCAGAATCTAGAGTAATGCTCCTTCTTCTTCTTTTTCTAAAAAAATTTATTTATTTATTTTGAGAGAAAGAGAAAGACAGAGACAGAGAGCACACAAATGCCTATGAGCAAGGGAGGGGCAGAGAGAGAGGGGGTTAGAGATCCCAGTCTCCACCTTGTCCATCTCATGATTGTGAGATCATGACCTGAGCTGAAATTAAGAGTCAGATATTTAACTCCCTGAGCCACCCAGGCATCCCGCTCCTTATTCTTAATGACATTGTTTCCTATGGCTTCCTTCCTGTATTTGGTACACGTTAAGTCTGCCCTGCTTCTCGTTTCAGCCAGCAAGAAGCAGTGGTTCCATTTCTGTCAGTTTTGGAAACTGGGGCACAGTGAGCCCAGAGGTTTCACCTTACTTTGGGTTGGCCTCGTTGATTGAATCCTGCTTTTTCCATAGATGATACAGGAGCCTTCTTAATCCTGATCTCTCACTGTTCGCCAGGCAGGAAATAGACTTGCTTTGCTTATTGACTTCTTCAAAAGGGCATCTTATTGCTGGTTCGGAGAATCGGATAAACCATGAGGTCAGGTAGAGAATAGTCTACTTGGAGAGTGGAATCTAAGAATTGCCCTCCAGAGCTGGAGATTGACCTAGACCAAAAGTCTAAAGAGTATAGGATAAACCCTGAGTTTATCCCTGAGTAATGCCCTGTGACATTGAACAGTAATTTCTCCCCTTCTGGTACTCACTTTTAGCATCATAAAACAATTATTTCTGAGGTTCTTCTTAGCTTTCCCTTTTCCTTCTTCTTACCGCTTTGATAACATCTACAATTTATCTATAAAATCTTAACTTCATGCAGTATGGATAAGTTACCTTGGTGAACACAGGGGCTACAACACAGGTGGATCTGGACAGGTTGCTGCAGGGACTCAGCATCTGGTTTAAGAAATAGAAGAGACACTATATCATCCATACTGTCAAGGTCCTGAAACTTAGGTACATGGTGGCCATGGACTGACTGAATCAATTTTAGCTGCTACCACCACACCCCAGATTTCCTCTTTGAAAAGGATAAAGCTTCTAATTGAAATGTTATTTGAGATATCTGTTCCTGTGCCACCTTTTTTTCCCTTTCCTGCAGCTTTCCATCAGCTGAGATGGTGAAATGTAACACTAGGCAATTACATTTGGGAAATGAGTTTTGGCAATTATGTAGAGACTGTATATAAAAGGCATAAATAACTTGTAAGTTTTACTGACTAGCTTTTTTTTCCTCCTCTATACAGTTGCTCTTGTCTTCTCTTTTAGGCCTTTGTAAAAGCATCTCCCTGCCCCCCTCCCCTCTTCTTTTAATTAAAAGGGAATTCATTCCATGGATAGTTGGAATACTCTTTTATGGGACTGAGCTCCTAGAAACCAACTGTCTCTTATGATCTGGGACATAAACAAATGGCTGACCCACAGAACTACCATGGAGTTATTTCTGAGACCTGTGGATTTCTTTCTTGTTCTTTTTTGAGGTCATGCAGCTGAAGGTTCCCCTCATGTATACTTTTTAAGAAAGTTGCAATAATTCCTTTTTCTCTGGGCCTGTGTCTCCATTACTGGGACCCCTCAGAAGGCTTTTAAAACTGAACATACCCTTTGGGGGTCAATATACAGTGGTTGAACTAAGGTAGAATAACTTGATCTGATGTTGGAGGTTTCATTAACCAGGGAACTGATGGTCAAAGAAACTCTAGTGGTTTTCTTCTTTATCCTGTTGTAGAAACAAAACCAAACACAGTCCAGTGAAAGAAATATTAGAGGCAGCTTTGATAGAAATGCTTCACTGTATTCATTTGACTGTATCACATTTTCACTTATAATCCTTTTGTTTTTGATTTGCATTATAATTTTAGCTTTTTTCTCTTTGATCAATTAGTAGATTATGGCTCTTAATAGTTCTGCTTTAAATTTCCTTTGTCTTAGTCTGATAATCAGTGAGCTGTTACTGAACACTTAAATTATGTGGAAGATATAATTTATAAAGCAAATAATCACATTAAAGTTTGGGAAAGTTTAGGAGTTTTTTTGGTATGTTGATTTATTTTTAAAAATTTTTAAAAATGGTTTATTTATTTTTGATAGAGAGAGAGAGAGAGAGAGAGAGACAAAGCTTAAGTGGGGGAGTGACAGAGAGAGAGAGAGGGAGACACAGAATCTGCAACAGGCTCCAGGCTCTGGGCTGTCAGCACAAAACCTGCTTCAGGGCTCGAACCCATGAACTGAGAGCTCATGACCTGACGTAAAGTCAGATGCTTAACCAACTGAGCCACCCAGGTGACCCTGGTGTATTTTTTTAAAGTAGAATTTCCTCTATATTCTTATTGCAACAAATGAACATTCACATTCTTTACTTACTCTGACATTTCTGTAGCATATTCCATGCACAATCACAGACAGAAACGTTTTCTTCCCTCTTCCCTTGTAAGAAAGAGAAAAAAGAAATTCTGTCTGGATTTCACTGGAATTTAATAAAATTTAATTCAACTATATTGTATTCACGCCAGAACCAGCAAATTAGTTTACAGGCAGTAGGTCAATCCAGAACATCTGAATTCTTGACTAAGGATGGAACTACTTTAATATTTTCAGTTTAAAAAATCCAGACATTTACCCTTACAGAGCTATAGCAGTTGGCATCCAGAAGAGGTACTGAGTCACTTCCCAAAAACAACATTTCAGAGGGCAGATATTGGTGTCTGTGAATTTGTGTTTTGGTCGAAAGTCTTCAGCATATTTATTATAATAAGAAATCCATTGAAGCACATTGCTGTGTTGAAGGATGTTGTCAATGTTCATATTATCTCTATGAGTAGGTACTTAATAGAGAAATATATCTCGGTTCTTAGTATTAAGAACAATCAGGCTTCTGTGCTAGTACTTTGGTTTTCCTCACAGGTACTGCAAGTCTTAGTATTGATTATATTTCCTCTGTGTTAGCTATTTGAAAGTCTAGTGGTCATTTCATAGGCAGTAATTCAATAGACATTAGAGTCAGGATCTCTTAAATTTGTAACCTGATATTTTTTCCCCTGCTATGTCTATGATGATTTATTTACCCAAACCAACATGTGGATCACATGATCCCACAAAGAACTTTTATTTTATTTTCAGATAGAAGAGATGGAAGAGATATACAGACTAGCCTGAATAACAAAATAATACGATTTTCAGAAAGCCATTCACTTATGGAAGTAGAATATTTGAAATTGTAACTATTCCAGAGAACCCAGGCTCTAAGGTCACTTTATACTTCAGTGCTTTTTAAAAAAAATTTTTAATGTTTATTTAGAGACAGAGTGTGAGCGGGGGAGGGGCAGAGAGAGAGGGAGACAGAATCTCAAGCAGGCTGTAGGCTCTGAGCTGTCAGCACAGAGCCTGACTCAGGGCTCAAACTCACGAGCTGTGAGATTATGACCTGAGCCAAAGTTAGACGCTTAACTGACTGAGCCTCCCAGGCACCCGTATACTATAGAACTTTAATGAAAAAAAAATTAGTTCCCACTTAAAAAAAAATCTTCTTTTTTAAAAAATTTTTTTTCCAATGTTTTTATTTATTTTTGGGACAGAGAGAGACAGAGCATGAACGGGGGAGGGGCAGAGAGAGAGGGAGACACAGAATCGGAAACAGGCTCCAGGCTCCGAGCCATCAGCCCAGAGCCTGACGCGGGGCTCGAACTCCCGGACCGCGAGATCGTGACCTGGCTGAAGCCGGACGCTCAACCGACTGCGCCACCCAGGCGCCCCCCCAAAAAAAATCTTCTACATACAGTGTTTGATGCCGTCCATTAGAATAAGATTAATGTCCTTTTAACCTTAATACGTAATCTCATAATTCTTAGTGGCTTTTTCAGTCTTTAAAAATTCCCTTATCATCTTGAAGTTTTATAACTAAAATTTTGGTGATGTAAAATATTTCCTAGGCGCGCCTGCGTGACTCAGTTAGTTAAGTGACTGACTTACATTATTTTATAAAGTAAAAGATTAAAAAAAATCTTTGAACTGGAGTTGCCTTTTTTTTTTTTTTTTTAAGGATTGTTGGTTTTTTCTTTTATTTTTTAAATGTTTGTTTATTTCTGAAAGAGAGCAGAGGAGGGGCAGAGTGGGGGGCGGGGTTGGAGAGTGGCGGGTAGGGAGGGGAGAGAGAATCCCAAGCAGAATCAGCACTGTCAACGCAGACCCTGATGCGGGGCTCAAACTCACTAACTGAATTCATGACCTGAGCCAAAATCAAGAGTCAGATGCTTAACTGACTGAGCCACCCAGGTGCCCCAGTTTTTTTTTTTTTTTTTTTTGAAAGAACAGGTAGAGGGGCGCCTGGGTGGCGCAGTCGGTTAAGCGTCCGACTTCAGCCAGGTCACGATCTCGCGGTCCGTGAGTTCGAGCCCCGCGTCGGGCTCTGGGCTGATGGCTCAGAGCCTGGAGCCTGTTTCTGATTCTGTGTCTCCCTCTCTCTCTGCCCCTCGCCCGTTCATGCTCTGTCTCTCTCTGTCCCAAAAATAAATAAACGTTGAAAAAAAAATTAAAAAAGAACAGGTAGAATTATAATTTAGTAGTTCAGAAGAAGATAGGTTCAGTTCTGTGAGAGTACATGTGCTAAAGGAGTTGCAAACATGTGTAGATTACCTTTATGTCCAAAATTGGTCACAGAGTCTGTACCTGAAGACTCTCTAAACAGGGTAGATTCAAACCTCGAAGTGTTGCCTCTATTTATTTGACTTGGATCATTTTTCTAATGAATGAAAACTTCACAAACACGTCAGCTTTTTGCTTTTTTGACTGGGAACCACATTGTGCTGAGTCTTTATTTTCTTTAGTAACATTGAACACTGAAGAAAGGGAACTGAGACTCCCGACCCCCTTCCTCTTAGTCATGCCAGAGTTGTGTTTGTTGACTGGCCTTCTGTCATTCCGGTGGGTGACTTGCCAGAATGCCCAGGCTTGGGCCTGCTTGCCCTTTGGCTGTGTTGAGAATTCTGTGCAGTCTGGGGCGGGGCCACTTGAAACACCTCAGCTTTTGAACTTTTGAATACTTTCTGATGTCCTCTATGCTAAGACCCCAGGAACAACACAAAGGAATTTAGAGTTAGCTGTCACAATGAAACTGTATGAAAAGATCAGTCATGCAGAAGATGTATAATAATGATATAGAAACTACCTTAACAGTGCTGTAAGACATCAAAAGTGTTAATGTCATGGACATTAAATACTGCCAGTGACCTCGCAGAATAGCACAGAACCAGTCACCCAATAGGCTGTTAGAAATATGTACTATGACCAAGCTTGACTGTTGTGAGAAAACTTCATTCCCAGAGTCGACCTTCAACAGAACTTAGAAGGTTGTTAAAATTGGAAAATATGAAGTGTGTAGGTATGTGAGTTGGGATGGGAATGTGTAGTGGTGGGGTGAATACTTGTGGGGGGTGGGTAGAAAAAGAAAACAAATAATATAGGGAACATTAAGCTGCCAGATACTGTGCTTATCTCTTTATGTCACTTGTGGAGAAAGCATTCCATAGCCATTCAATGGTGAGGAACACTATGGGATCACATTGCCTGGATTTACTATTTATCAAGTATATTAGGCTTCTCTCTAAGCGTCATGTTTCCCATTCTGTAAAATAGGCACAAAAATAGCATTTATTTCTGGGGTTGTTTTGAGGATTAAATGAGATAGCCCACAGGAGTACTTAATGCATACATGTACCACATATCAAGCACTCAATAAATGTTAGCTGCCATTATTGTTGTGATAGTGGTTGTTATGTAGAGATACAGGTAAAGTTCCACCTTTCCTCAGGGGTTTCTAATTTAGCTCTCTTTGATTTCCTTCTCTTGTGAATTTAAAAACCTCTTTCATACACTTTTGTTTTGAGTTATTTACTATTGCGTACTTTCATTTGGAAGCTCCTTAACATTAAAGATCTTTTCAAATGTCTCCCATCCTCAAAGTATCTATCCCAGTATTGAACAGAGAGTAGGTGAGGCACTGATCGATTTCATAGATTCATGCATAGGGAGATGCTATTAATAATCTTAGAAGGTGTGCAGTGTTTTGCGCTTTTGCCTTCAACCCCATCCTACAAATAAGAACGAATGAAGTAGATTCCTTCTCTTCCGATGCTGGCAGTCAATCTTCATACCATACCAGCCATCCTAGGTGGAGTTAACCCATCACCAGTCATTGAAGATCGAGAAAGACATGGGAAATCTTGCCTATCATCTTCAAAAAATAAAATTAAGGGCCAGAGAGGTTACATTATTTGCTCAAGGTCATGCAATTTGTTGGTACAGGAGTCAGGATTAGAATACAAATCTCCTGTCTTCTAGTGCAATCCATATACACCCTTAGCAAATAGATTCTGTATTACCAGATAAATGTAAAACTGTGGATATTCCTCTCAGTAGTTGAGACTGTAGTGATTGTTTTTCTTTTATCAGGATCCATTGTATTTATGGTTCTGAATTCAGTGGGTAATGAAACAGCCTTTTTACTTTGTATGTAAGCTCCATGAAGTCATGGAGCTGTTCACTCTGGTGAACACTAAGCACCCTAGTGCCTAGAATAGTGCAGTTGGTTGATACTTAAGCTGAGAATGTGTGGCTTCTAGAGACTCTAACCTTTGAGTGTTAGACCCTGGAGAGAAATTGTGTATACATCAGGGACACTGTGGCTGTGGCAGGAAGATAAAAATGAAATGCTTCCCCTCATGGGAAGGGAAGGATCAAGTGAGAGAGTGTGTATGAAACTTTTGGAACTTCTTGGAAGAAACATGCCTTACAAATAAATATAAGGTCAGTTGGTTCAAGAGGCTAGAGTTTCCTCTAAGCCCCTTGGCATGTCTCATAGGAGAAGCTAGAAAACATCAACAGAATAGTCTTGGTGGTGGATGAGATTTAGGTTTTTGCCCAACTTGAAATTGTCTGATGTCCCTAGGCAAATGAGAACAAAAAACAGAAAATCCAGTCCTTATAAAGGGAAGGTGATACTGTGCCTCCTAACATTCCAGATACTTCCTGTTCTAAGCAGGAACAATCAGACTTCCTGGGCAAGGCACCAGACAGCCCATGCTGTCACTTAATCCATGGAGTGAGGAGGCCTGGCAGGACTTTCTCTCCTGTCTCTGATCTTCCAGCCAATGAAAGGAGATGGTGATAACTAATGGAACCAAGAAGTACCCTGCATCTTACTTTGGGTTAGCATGAATTAAACAATCTGTGTCTGAAGATCGTATCGAAAAGGATGAAAATATAGAGAGACCAGGTAATTTGGGAAAGAGAGTGCTAATTCAGGATTGAGAAAATCTAGATTTTGATTCTAGATCAGTCAATTAGTTATATGACCTTGGGCAAGACCCTTTGGGGTCTCAGTTTTCTCATATCTAATGAGAAGTGAGAAGTGAGATGGTCCCTGAAATTTCTTCTAGGTCTATTAGCTCTTTTTAAGTATTTTTAAATTCTCAGGGCCTGATTATGCTTTAAAATCTCTGATTTCTGTAATTACCTGAGCAGATGAAATTCTATCAGAGGATAAGAGAAAGAAAGATGCACACTGGACCTAAAAGCAGAAGTGGTGGCATTTAGGCTACTCCAGAACCCAGAGGTCTGAAAGATGAGCTGAGTTTTAGAAATTACTTAAATGGTTAAAAGTGTTACTTATTTATGAAAGCAAACCTTTCAGAACTCATTTGGTTAAGTGATGAAACAAAACTGAATGTGAGAACACTACTTCTCCTCTATTTCTAGAAAAGGAAGAATTTTAAAATGAAAGCTCATTTTAAAATATTGAGTTCTGTGGCTAAAGCTACTGTAGTCTTTGAATTCAATTCTCATGTATTTTCCTCTAGGGATTAGAAAAGGAGGTTTTCAAAGGGAAAAAAAGCAACCCTTTGCTTGACTGCTATGAAATAATGCCACACTCCAGAGTATCAGAGTGAAAATGTGGATTCTAAATATGTGTGGGCCCTACACACAACTTGTCCTGAAGAGTTCCTTCTTGATTTTAGGTAGCACTCGGGATGTCCTTGAGAGAAAAAATAACTAGGGATTTTACTTTCATGATGAGTTATGCTAGCAGGCTTCATGGCTCACGTAAATGGTAACCTTTGCTGAGTGTAACCCTAGCTCTTTGTAGAGAGAACAGAATTAGACTCCACCAAATGAAGAGTCCAAGAC